TATATTATATAAATTTAATTTAAAGTTAATAATAAAAATTTTTTAAAATTTAGCTTTTAAAACTATACTAAATTTAGGATATTGTACTAAATTTAGTATAGCATATAGATACCCATTAAGATTATATGTAGCCATATAAGGCAAAAACTTGATACATCTAATAAAAGATACGAGGCAAGACTTCACCTTAATACCGAAAAAAAAAAGACTATAGAGGGAGTGACTGTATAACATTTTGCAAACTATGGTAATTAACTATCAAAAAGTAATTGTTTAATTAATTAATTTTGCCCTGCATCTTGTAGATCTTTTTCTTGCTACTGCTAATAACACTTAATATACTAATTAATACAGATAGTAGTTAAATATAGCATAACCAGAATAGCTATTGAAATTGTAGGCTATGTGATAAATACTATTACTATAGTAAGATATTTACAAACTAGGCTCAACTATTACAACTAAAGTCTTATTGTCTGAATATTTGCAGGTTATAAAACTGCAGCTCTAATAATAGCTTTTTTTTACACATAACCTGGTAGCCTTCTTGGTTATGTTGTTAAATATCTGTGAATACTTTTAAATAATCTTTATTGGCTAGATTTAAAAGTTTCATAAATTAATTAAAGATGTTACTAGCTTATTCAGTTCTATTTATTAGTTTTTAAATAATTAGATAAGTAAGCTAATTAGTACTTTAATTATTGTTTAACAATTAATATGTAACAAATTAATAAAATAAATTAATAAATTATATTAAATTAATTATATCACTCTAATTAAATATCATTATTGTTTCTTTTATATTATCATATAATATAATATCATCTAATTTTTTAAAAGTTATAAAAAAAACTATTTAGATAAGAAAAAAATTGCCAAATTTATAATAAACTAATATATCTGATTATTATACTATCTATAAAGAAGAACTTGTCTATATTAATAATATCACTTTTGAAGAAGAAAAATCTGATTTGTCCAATAGTATTGAAGATAAAAAAAATGATTCTGTTATGTTGTCACTACAAGAATTTTTATCAGATAGCAGTTTTAGTACAAATTGCAGTAAAAATAAAACTTCATGCATGTAAAATTTATGAGTGAGCAAAAAGAGTGAGATAAGGTTATTGTGAAAATATATAGAAAATATAAACAGAAATTTAGCTCTACAATAACTACTAGAATTTTAGATAACTATCTAAGTAATAAGCATAATATAAAACTTACTCTAAAAAAAATAATTTAGTTCAAAAGCCATATAGTAATAGAGATATTTGATGTAAGAAAGAGTGTTTTAATAGTATTTTCAATTTTATAGTTTGTTGTCAGCTCTTATTTGCAGTTGTTGAAAACCTCTGGTTTTAAAAAATAGTGAATACATTTTACTCAAGATAAAAGCATCTATCACATCAGTATATAAAGAAGAAGATAATGAATTAATTTAAAACTCGGCATGCTCTTGTTTCAAAAAAACTCAAAAGCCTCATTACCAAAGTTACACTTACTACTGATATCTGGATCTTAATTTCAAATCAAGCATTTCTTGGGTTACAATATATTATATTGATAACAAATAGCAAATGCATTGACTATTGCTAGACCTTATTCATTTTGAGCATAATCATATTGCAATATCTACAAAAAAAAGCTCTATAAACTTTGAATACTATGAATATTAGTGATAAAGTAATTGCTTTTACTATGAATAATAATTCTGCAATAGTACTATATAGAAATCTAATAAAGCAAGAATAGGATTTACAAAATTTTTTGCCACTACCATCATGCTGCTTACATTCTTAATCTAGCTGTGAACAACAAAATGCAACTTAAAACATTAGTAATTGAAAAAGTTATAAGTTTTGTAAATAAAATTAGATACTCTACTGTCTTATATAATACACTTCATCAATTTGTGAAATAAACTATAAAAACTATATTAAGCCAATTCTTAATATAAGTTGAGTATAAAAAATAATTTAATATTAAAGCATTTTAATATTTACTATTTGTTAATTTTATTATATTAATTTAAGCATGTAGTAGAGCAGTATCTATAACATGCTTTATAGGTTCAAAAAAATATATAATAAGTTAAGTTTACTTGCAACTATGTATAATAAACAACTTAAACATACCCAATATACACATCCTAAATTATTACAAATTAAAAACTTCAAAATCAAGTTTCTTCTTAATGAACTGCCTGCACCGTAGTAATTCATGTAACTCATTATTTTAATATAATGCATAAATTATTCAATAAAGACCAAGGCCAGATCTCACTCTTAAAAAAAAAAAAAAACTAATAAACAACTTAAAAATTATTATCTTAATGATAAGAAATAGAAAGTTGTAGATTGTATGATCAAATTGTTAGAACCTATGCTAGTCACAACAGAATTATTATTATCAAGCTTATATCAACCATCTCTGATATTCATTTAACTTTTTGAGACTTCTTTATCATCTTAGTAAATTTATTAATGATAAATCAAGCTCAACCAAACAATATATGATATCAAATGCTATTCGATCTAAACTAGATAAATATTGGTCTATACTTGAAGAATCAACTATGATTGCTACAATTTTGACCCATAATTCAAGCTTATAACCTTTCTTTTTGACAATAAAGATGCTGCTCTTACTAGTCTACAAAATATGATAATTCACTATAAATCACAAGCCCTACAAACAACTATAACTACTTCTACTTCTAAATCAACTTTTAAAAATAAACAAAAATTTTTTAAGTCATTATTAACATAGCAACAAGCAATTTAATAACCTTTAATAAAAAAACTAGAATATTGTGTCTATATCAACAACTATTAAAAATAGCTTTCTTTTATAGTAGCTAAAAATGAACACAAGTTTCCAACACTTGCAAAAATAGTACAGGACTATTTTTCAATCCAAAGAACAAATGTTCCTTGTGAAGTAGTCTTCTCTATAGCAGAAAGAACTCATATAAAAATTTATAACCATTTTGATTCTCAGACTACCTGTGCATTACTCTGTCTAAAAGTTGGATAGAACAAGATATTAGTATACTAAACTAAAATCAAGAAAATTAATAGACAAAAGTAAATTGAATATTTTTTTAGTATCTTATATTTTAGCATTAGTATCTTAAATTCTAGCATTATATAGATTTTTTTGTAAACAAAAAAAGCTGTAAAGCTAACTCTATGAAAAAATATATATAAAAATAATAAAGAAAATTACAAATAATATACAAAATATAACATATATATACTGAATAATAAGTTTATATAATAAATTAATATTGAATTATTATATTGAATAGATACAGAATCTTTTTTAATACAGAATAAATATTGAATTGTTATACTAGATAGATATGAAATCATTTTTGATACAAAATGAATGCTGAATTGTTATACTGAATAGATATAGAATCATTTTTAATACAGAATAAATGCTAAATTATTATACTGAATAGATACAGAATCATTTTTGATACAGAATGAATGCTGA